GCCGAGCCATCATGTATGCCTCGTACTGATTGAAAAAATGAGCCTTGGTTATAGCATAGGCAGCCATATCCTTTGCAATTATCACTGAAGGTAGTGAGACTGCCAAGGTGCACCGTCAACCAGCGCTCAAGGCTCGAGCATCAGCAAGGACAAGCTTTCTATAAACCTTTATTCACACTGTATCTTTTACCTTCCTCGTCGTTCATGTGGGTCAAACAAGACAAGCCAAGTTCAAGTCAGTCGAATTGTGACTAGAATGTCTTTCAGTGGAGTCGGTCCTCAATATGCTCGAACACAACCAGGGCGGCTCCTTGTCGTCATTGATTGAGCCGCGTCAGCAACAGTCCGCGTCTCAAAAGGGCAGTATCCTTTTCGGTCATTAGGGTTTATGTTTCAATATCTTTTGCCCTAGACACGGCTAACGGCGCATCGCCAGATGCCTCACCTCGAAGTAATAGCGAGACCAGGTAGTATAGTAATCGGCCAAGTTGCGTACGAGTAAGATGGATAGTGTCAGAACGCGATTAGGAAACACCGCCCAAGCGATGACACGCTGATGCTGTTGATTTGCTTCTTCATCCTCGTCAGCAAAAGTACTCAAGGCGGAAAAAGCTTGTCATCTGCGAGCAGCGGTATTGCCCCGACTTTCCAGAATTCGTGTTGGATAACTGGAGCCTATTGACATTAGTGCTGTTACATCTGAGCGTTGTTAGCTGGAGGTCGAAGTATTAGAGTCGGGGTTTTCCCGATCTGTCAGCTTTTTAACTGTAGTAGCCTGATTAGCCCTACGCACCACGTGATCTCACGTGGTGTCTCGGCTACATCTAGCGAGCTGGCTCACGACAGGATACCCCTGGTCCTCGTTCTGGCACCCACATAAGCAACATATTACTTGGGCCGCGTTAAGAATCATACAGTCAGGGACAGATCAGCCTCCATTCAGAAGGAGTAGTATGATTTATAAGCTGTTACTGAGAAAGTGATTAATGATATGTACCTTTTGTCGTATAGAGATATCGATGGAGGTTAAAGGCCTGAAGGGAAAAGTGGCGATCGGTGCTATTGAGCAGTGTAGCGCTTTCCGATCCTAGACACGTACCGTGTGACTGGTGGACTACTAAGAGATATAAAGACTGTCGAGACTAGTACTCGGCCGAAGGTGTCGGACTTGTGCTGATACTCACAGTGTCAATTAGTCGATAGTATCTAGTTAGCTGGCCCTCAGGCTCTGTTACTATCATGTCCTCCATTGAGGTATCCCAATCACGTGCATTCGCGTCACCTGCCAAGGCTGAACGCGATCCCGTGCTCCAGCTTGTCCAGCTCTGGCTCCAATGCGCCCTGCCCTCCTTACAACATCTCAGTATGTGACCATGGTGCTCTCTGAACGATATCATGACGCCGGAGCAACTGGCACCCTTTGTCAGAGATGTGATGCTCTTCTCCCCTGAAGATATTGACCGTTTGCACCGTGTTCTTTTCCGCCTCCAAGAAGCCTCGATTAACTTTACCCCCACTGCTATAAAACGCGAATACAAAGACATATGCTCAGAAAGCCATGTCTCAACACAACACGATGACCCTTGCCTGCGGTGGCTCCTTGACCTCCTCGAGATCGACCCTGACATTCCTCTCAACGAAAAATTTCTCGACGTCTTACAAGAGGCGAACATAGTGTTGACTACAGACGGAACTACAACGGATGGGGCAACCGACTACGGAGAAGGACAAGAAAGACGGGTGAACACTGCTGCTTCCATGCTTTATCGACCCCGTACATCTGACTCGATCGACTCTGTTGACGAAAATGATCCTCTCTGGCAGCAAGCTGTAACCCTCGACAACCGAAAGTTGGCATCGCAGGCGCTTGAACAATGGCGGCACAAACTGCAGCTGCAAAGAGCCGCATATTTGGACTATGAAGACCCGGCTATGAATGCAGTGGCGGACAGCTTATACCTGCGCAATCTGGCAAGAAAGGTCTTATCGCATTGGCGCAACACCGTCGCAGAAATCCGCCAAATGGACAATGTCGCTAACGACTTTCGCACGCGACGTGATGCTGCATTTTCGCTGAAGCACTGGACGTTGGCTACGCGCGAAATGCTCTTCGTCAAAGTGAGGGATGAGCGAATACTCCGCAAAACCCTAGAGAAATGGCAAGAAAAGACAGTGAGCCTCAGAGAGATGGAAGCCGCAGCTGCTGCTTTCCGCGACCGCCAAGCACTTCAAAATGTCCTGGAAAAGATGATGGTCAAGAGGTACCAAATCAAGCAAGCAGAAGCTCAAGCCGTCCTTGTGTATGAAGGGAATCTGAGCCGGAAAATGCTCCACACATGGTTGGTGCAGCTGGGGCATATTCGATTGAATGAACGACGAGCGGAGGCTGCAGCAGACTACTTTGCGAGCAAGCATAGTCTCCAGAAATGGCGGGAGAAGGCCCGACTCCGAGTTGAAGAGAAAAAAGCCGTGGAGACTCGTAAGCATGTTTTGAGCTTTACATACTTCCAGAAATGGCGAGCCGTAACCAGGAAGAGCAAGGAGGCCAAGTACGCCGAAGCATACAAAAGCATGAGAAGAAAGGTTAAGATGAATATTGCTCGAACGGCACTGAACATTTGGAGGCAGAAGGCCGCCCAGATCCGTCAAATGAATGCGACCGCTGAGGAATTCCGGGCTTGCAAAGTCGTGGAGGATGCAAAACGGACAGCCCACGGTGCAATTGTAACGATGTTCAACAAGACCGAACAGATGCAAGAAGCCAGCCTTGAAGCCGATCTCTTATTCCGCAAGAATCTTATTGAGCACCTCCAAATCTTTGGCTCGAACTGGCTCGTGCCTACTCGACAGATGCTCGAGCATCAGAGGAAAGCAGACGAGTACCGGGCGACAAGAACGGCCAGCTACGCATTGTCAATGCTGAGGAATTGGAGGAATGCGGCATTTAGAACAAAGAGGCTCGAGGAGGATGCCGATGTGTTATTCCATCGTAATGAGAAGAAGCGGGCTCTTTGGTTTCTCCAGAAATGGCGGCAGGTGTCGGCTGGCTCGAATAATGAAGAGAGAGCAAGGGAGGCTTCTCTGGTTCCAGCGACGCCGGCGGCTCGAAGGAACCAGCTGCTAGCCTCTACGACACCTGCCTACACCCCAGCTGGCGCGCTTTTTGGGAGGGATGTCCACGCAGTGGAGGACGAGGAGGAGTAATGTTTTTGGAGCTATGTGTACACGAGCTATGACTATGATACCCCCGCGAGCTGAAATGAGATTTATACAGAGACACAATGTAACCATTAAGACCCTATCACAACACTTGTACACTTCTGAGCCCTTCTCCGGGCAGCGAATGTGAGTTATACGATGAAATGTTGGGGATAAAATACCACGTGGGACACGATTCGGCAACTTTTGGGCCCAGCCGATGATTGTCAATTACGTGTCGATGACAATTTACATGGTCACTTCGTCTGATTCATAACCATTATGAACCAACGTTTCGCATTGTGATCTTGTCGATCTCAGCGTGAATTAGGTGGCATCATGTCCAACCAGACCATTGCGGATGCGGATACTCCTGATCCTTGGATGGTCGCCGCCCACAACCGCTTCTACCTGACCTTCACCTGCGGAGACCGCATCGAGATATGGATGTCGCACGACATGGAGAATTTCAGGAATTGTAAGAAAATCATCGCATGGAAGCCACCGCCCGCAACTCCCTGGGTGGCGGACATCTGGGCCCCCGAACTGCACTACCTGAATAGAAGATGGTACATCTACTTCTGCGGCGCCCACCCGGAGATCGGAAACCCTTCGCATAGAACGCTATTGCTGCGCAGTCGAAGTCAAGACCCGATGGAGACGGGAGCGTGGGAATTCCTCGGACAGATGAAAGGCCTGCCTGATCACTGGAACATCGACGCGACAGTCTTCTATCTGCAGCGCACACAGAAGCTATACTGCTGTTACTCTGGGTGGCCGCTGGGTGATCATTCAGACAGGCAGCAGGATTTGTTCTTGATCGAACTGGAGTCCCCCGAAGTCGCGCGACCAGCGACACTCACTTGCATTTCTAGGGCAGAACTACCATGGGAGAGGGCGGATGGAGGAACCCATGGCGTCAACGAAGGTCCCACGTTCATCAACATTCCCGGCTTTCAAGGAATCATCTACAGTGCCAATGGGAGCTGGACCAGCGACTACAGGTTGGCCCTGTTACAGCTTGTCGGCGATGACCCCTTGAAGGAGTCATCGTGGAGGAAACGACCGACGCCGCTGCTTGTAAGTGACCGAGCAAAGGGAGGGCCGTTCGGGCCTGGGCATGCAAGTTTCATTCCTTCTCCGTACGGAGATGGAAGGGTGTACTGCATCTATCACGCCACCGAGCATGAGGGACAAGGATGGAACAATCGCAAAGCGAGAGTCCTCAGTTTCGGGCCAGAGCATTTTCATCCCAACAGCCAACCCATGTGCTGTGCATTGTCCGTCTCTGGGCAATGGAGTGGCGGTGCCTCAGTCTCAAGCGCCGGTGGATTGGCCGGAAACATGTTTCAGCAAGGATCGCAGTCACAGCATGGTCACGGGCAACGAGCAAGTCTGATAGACAAAATTGGAGGTAAGATATTGAGGAAGTTGAAGGAGTACATATAGCCATATGTGTTGATCCGGGGGAAGGCTGTCATCTTCAAGGTCTTCACGTCAAGCCCACTACTCCATACGCCCTCCGATGCCTGGCTTCTGTGAGGTCAGTTGGAGAACCGATGGGGAAATTCCGCTTTATGTATAATATGGTCAGCTTCTCGTAATATGGAGCTCGTACCGAGTTCAGATCTGACTGCTGCTTGCTGTTGTCAACCGGTGCATAGCCGAGGTTTCCCCATTTCCCCTCCAGAAAACCCTCCATCAATGCCATCTAGACATCACAGACACCACACGTCCTTACAGATCTCTGTGGATTGATTTTCCCACCGGCCGGTTCACAACCCTGCTCGCCCCGTCTAAACATGGCTGTCAACAACTGGGTCTGGTTCGGACCGCTGTCCTTCCTGGTCGCATTGTTCGGCCTCTTCTACGCATACCCGTACCCGGTCTTGAATCTGTATGGTGGACGACTGGCGGATGCGACGATCCATACGACGCATCTGCGTCATGGCCCATTGAACAATGACAAATGCTGGACGAATCCTCGTTCGTGAGATCCCAAGCCGTGTGTGTCTGAAGGTCCAAGAGTACATGAAGAAACTGACCCCGAGGGTTCTCTTCCCACCTTAAAAACAGTTGGTAAAGCCTGCGAGGACGTCCGCATCCATCATCCGTCAGCAACTGCTTTCCTAGGTTCGTTCGCGGCCTTTGTTTTTCCAAAGCTCAGCTCACTTCACATATGAAGCTGCTGCTGTTGCTTGTGGCGTCTTCTGGACTTGCAATTTGACCACTTCCCTTTTTCTATATAGCATGCGGCTATCCCGAGACCCGAGAAGCGTTCTATCCGCCGTTGAACCGCCACGACACCATGAGCGCGGACAGCTATCACGAGTACTTTTTGAAATACGATATCAAGGTAAAGTCAAGCATGAGCATAAGCGCATAGAGCTGGCAGGAAAGACCGGGGAAAAGCTGACGAGAAATGGTCGATTCAAAGACGGACAAAGCCACCAAGCTGACAATCGAGGGCATCGATTCCTCGCACGACCTAATCTTGCATGGCATTGACATTTTTGTGCCGAAAGACGACGACTCTAAGGTATCATTTTGTTCTCTCTGAATCTTCTGTCGGCCTAGTCCCACGATTGCCAAAAAGGTGGGGGGGAACATTCGTTGACTGGACCAACGGCAGATCTACCTCTTCGCCGTCAACCACGATCGCAAAGGAGAAGCCATCGTCCTGTTCTCCCACACCATCGGCTCCGATGTGTTGACGTACGTTCGCGAATTCAAGCATCCAGCTATCAAGACACCCAATGCCGTGGCCGCGACGAGCTTGAGGTAAGACTTCCCACCCTCCATGACATTTGGGCAACGAGAGATATTGGGTGCGTTTCACGAAGGAAGAAAGGGCGCCAAAATATTTCTTCTCACTCACTCACTCGGTCGCGCGACACAGCTCCTTCTTCATCACCAACGACCACTACTTCTACGGCGGCGGGCCATTGGCAACCATCCTCCGCAGCCACGAAGACCACTGGGGACCGTGGAAATGGGCCTCAGACGTTGTCTACTGCAACGCCTCGTCGGACCCGTCGTCCCACGAGATCGACTGCAAGACCGTCTCGCCACCGAACGCCCACCCGAGCGCAAACGGCGCTCTTCTGGTCGACGATGGGAAGACACTGATGGTGAACGATGTCGTCGAGGCGACGACCACGATTTACGACGTCGACCCCGAGACCAAGACGTTGACTGTGAGGAAGAAAGTCGTACGTAATTATCTTTTTCCTTGGTCGAGTCTCCCACCTGGTTCTTTTAGCCCATTCCGTCCCGGGAAGGGATCTGGATCTGGCAAGGCGCAGATCCAACTAAGAGGGCTGACTGGCTGATTGCGCGAACACAGCAACTCGGCGCCGCGGCGGACAACCTCTCACTCATACCTGGAACAGAAGACATTGCAGTGTGCAGTAAGTCCTGACCGTTTTCACAATCTGCATGTGCATTTTTCCCTTTTTTCAGTTTTTCTTCCCACAAATGCCCCTCCCCTTCCGGTCCCTCCCAACCCAAAAGGCGGCGGACAAAAAGCCTCTCAAACTAAAAGCACAACCCAGTCTTCCCCGACGTCCTGGCCCTCAAAGCGCGCCTGAGCGGCGACCACCTCCTCGACTACGGCTTCAAGGGCGAGGCGGGCATCCTGCGCCTGGTCAAGGCGCGCAACTACGAGCCCGAGCTGCTGTACTGGGACGACGGGTCGCTGATCACCGTGCTGACCGGCGCCGCTGTGGACCCCGTGCACGGCAAGGTCATCGCCGGCGGCGTCGTCGAGAGGTATTTTATTGTTTGCGATATTGATGTCTGAGCCTGAGCTCGCAGGGCGAGGGGATGGAGGACACGGAAGGAAGAGAAGGAGGGGAGGAGGTAGGAGCGGAATTGGAAAGAAGGGAAGAAGGGAGGGAAGGATGAGACGCGAGACGCAGGACACAGGACGCGGCCCATGCGTAAGCTATGTCAAGGTACTGCTATGGGGTAGTGGGTACATACATATATCCACATGGCTACATACGGACGTATGTGTATACATGGCTAGTGCAAAACGGAGAGGAGAAGCGAACGCTCGCTCACTCGCTCGCTCGAGGGCGGTCCAAGTTCGGGAATGAATCAGACGCAAATAAAGGATCAAGACTCCCGTAACAGAAACGTCGGATCGGACTCGAGAGGGATGCTAGATCAATCTCAGATTCTAGTCTGTACCTAAGTAGGAGAGGATTCCCAACGAGTCTACACCAATTTGCCTAGCTCCGTTTTGGTTTGCTGGATCTGACAAGGTTTCGATGTATTTTTGGTCTCGTGGTCATGTGTTTGGGTATCACTTCAATTCCCTAAAGGAACAATCGGCGACCAACTGGCTCAAAAGCGGGTTGCGAATCTATCGCGGTGGTGGCATGTGTCTGGGCTCGGGATGGGGCCCTTGAGCTTGATGCCAGAGCACGACCAAGGCGGCGATGAGATGTCTTGCTTCCCTAGATCACGTCGATGTGATCACGCCAAGCTAGACCTTCTCATTCAGCACCTCCTGATCAACACCCTTGAGATGTTCCGGAACCGTACCCGGGGGATGCGGCCCTTGACCACCCTGACTCGCCCTACTGGCTCGTCTCACCTCGATACTCTCCCTGGCAGTTTCATCCACAGACTTCCTAAAATGGAGAGCACTGCCCATGCTGTCAATCCCACCTACATTGGCGAAACTTTTGGGGTTTCCCACGAGACTGTCCCTCCTGAGCACCTTCTCGTCATACGCTTCTTCGTATGCCTCTTCGTCATCCGGGTTTTGGGGGATGCCGTACACCGTGTGCGGCACGATTTGATTAGTCGGCTTCCAGATGTAGCTGGTAACGGAGTAGACGAAGATGCTGACTACAAAGCCATAGAGCCAATCAAACGAATACAAGTGTTGTGCACCCGCCGTGATTCTAGAACTGGAGTTAATGCTCCATGCCAGACCGGGCATGCAGGGGCCGATGGCGAGGAGAAATGCGAGCATAGCTCTCCAGTTGATGCCATATATATTGTACCTGTATCGACCACGAGGATCGTAAAGGGCAGGCACATCCACGTGTTGTCGTTTGACGATCCAATAGTCGGAGGCGATGATACCGGCCATGGGAGCGAGGAAGACGGCATAGCCGCCCATAAAGGCCAAAAAGGTCGTTGCAGAGCTAAGGATCTTCCATGGGACGATGACCCAACCACCAACAATAGCGGCGATGACGCAACCACGCTTGATGTTGATATACTTGGGGCATAGAACTGTCAGATCATTTGCGGCGGAACTAGGTACATTAGCATACGAAAGCGATTGATACGGCAGACTCAAGAATTCAAGACTTACATGCTGTTTGCGGTGATGTTTGTGCCAACTTGGGCAATGTACCACGAGAGCGCGGCGAAGAATGCAGCGGCACGACCGCCAGGGTTGTCCAACCAATGGTCGATAATATCCAACGGGTTCCAAAGAAACTCTCCGTAAAGAACTTTGGATGCAGACGTGGTGACAATGCCCATCACACCACAGACTGTAAAGATTGCCGGAAGGAAAGGTAGCTGAATATACTGACCGCGGGAGGTCTTCGCATATCGACTGAAGTCAGGGATGTTACAAGCCAGTGTGGCCCAAGAACCTGTGACCGAGGACATGCATGACAACCATAGCCAGGCGCGCTGGCTGCCGTGAACTGTCTCGGGCAGGGAGAAGATGGCGCCACCGCCTCCGGCTTTGTGAACAATCCAACCGAGAGTAGCCAGTGCGGTGATTGGTGCAGCGACCAGCTTGACTATGAAAAGATAGCGAAGACGCGTCGGAGGGATCAGCAATAGTGGAAGCTGAATTATCCAGAAGAGGAAATAGCTGATCATTCCCTGGGTCGTAATACCGGCATCACTGGGGAGGTGATTCTTGATGTGTGCGTACGATGGCCAGATGGCGGTCAACATGAGGGTAATACACTGTGCGCCGTTGGCACCTTGGATACCAAGCCAGAACATGGCCAAGATGGCTCGAGAGACGATACAGAAGTAACCGAAGTAGTAACCGAAGCTGGATCTGACAATGACTGAGAATGGAATGTGCAGTTTGGCGCCGATGGCACCGTTGAGGACCATAGGCACAGCCACGCAGCTGGTACCGACAACCATGATGGGAATTGCATCGCGCCAGTTTAGACCCACGGCAATCACAGAAGAAGCGGTTTCCCAGGTACCCAGATTGATGGTGTCGGTTGCCCAGTATGCCATCCAAGTCCACAAAGTCCATGTTTGGTACTTTGGGGGGACCGGGTCCATGTCCGCATTGGTCCTGGATATTGGGTCAGTCCTGACGGTTCGCCTCAGGCGGCGTGTACGCGCGCTCTGTACCCAGCATCGACTTACCATACATCTTTGGGAGCAAGAGCGGAATCTACGGATTTGGGTTAGTAACCGTGTCAGTCCACAGATCCTGGAGATGGAATTACCTTGCTTAGGGAGTTCCCATGCGCTGAGAGTGGTCGCCCTGGCCTTGACAGTCGCCCCGCTGGGGATATATTTCTTTGTTTCTGTCACGTACTTTGACATCTTGCCGGTGGCTTACAACCCGACCATAGAGTGAAAAACAACTATGTGCCGATGGGCGGACGGCGAGAAAGATATACGCGACAGGGGACCAGCAGCGTAGCGATAATCGCAGACGATATGATGCAAAGCACCTCGATGCGGGAGAGGAAGTCGGTGCTCGTAGGGTGGGAATCGGCCGAAGGTTGGGATCCACTCGCGATCTTCAAGGTCCCTGATAAGGGCCAAACCCCATTCTCTTTGGACAAGAAGAGCAGGCCTTGCAGGAGCTTGATCGAATCGTGGTTGGCGCTGACCATGGCCTAGGCCCTTTAGTGAACCCTGCACTCGTGGGAGCGCGATAAGGCACGGCAACCTGTACAGAGTATGTACCAAGGACGTATGACAATGCCGTTCTTCTGGAAGACCTCAGGTGAAGGGTCGATTATGGTTTTGTTGATCTCTTCGTTTCTTCAAGCAGGCTGTCCAAAGCGATTGGTGACGAGAAGCGAGATCTTGTTGGTGATGTCAATGGCTACAGCCGGATCGACCAGAGAAACAGAAGCGGCATCGTTCAAGAGGTATAAGCCATGATCTGGCTGAGGCTTGTTTGATCGTGTCCGTCTTTTTCGTATCTCTTGACCCTTGCGTGAGCTTATCTCTGCGCCCTGGCGAGGTTGTGCATGAGCGCTAGCGGTTGACGTAGAATGAGTGGTTCAGAGGCAAAACGGGTGGCGGCACAGCGTAGTGGCTTTTGCTGGAGTCGAAACCATGCAGAAGGACGAGGACCAGGAGCGCAAACGGCAGGCACAAGCGTGTGGTGGTTGGAAGTGGACCATTTTGACCATTGCGATAGGTGAAGATGGGGAAGTTGGGGGCTGCGCAACTGCAGAAGTGCCATGCCGGAAAAAACATCCTCCGCACCGGCTGCCGAGCCTGATGCACGCTGCGCACCACGGAGCTTCTTTTCTCCTCCTCCTCACCTTGGCTGCTTCAATCCCACGCGATACCACTTCCCACGTTTCCACCCCTGCATAGGAATGCGCCTATGTCCTCGATCCACCAGGTATCCCGTCTTGTGCTCCCCGCGCGTAACGGCTTCCTCCGGACTGCACCTGTTGTCCCAGGCAATGTGGAGTTTAATCTCCTGAGACTTCGTTTGACAATTTTGCTCTACATACTCGGTACTGACTGCTCGGGCTTATCTTTCTATCAGCACAAATTCGACCCCAAAGGGATCTCGATGTGTGCCCAGACGTTTTTATCTTGCAATCCCAGATCTACGGCACCAAGACCGAAATTGCTCCCATGTGAAGAGTCAGGTACCTATCTCCGATGTCAAACCGACTTAAGTATAGATTGAACACCAGCATCCATACCTATCTTCGGCTCTAGGACGATCCTACCCTCCAAAGTTCAAACCATAGCCAGTGCTCTGTCGACGCTGAAATTCCTCAGCTCATGATGGATCTTGCTGAGACACGGTGAGATCAGAAACCATCGGTTACTCAGCCTCGTTCGAGGTGAGTGTTGTTTCTCTGCATGCGGATCACGACTCAGCAGGCCACCAAGCATCTATCGACTTGGCATTTCATCACAAGCCTCCCGTCCCACTGTATGGATCATCTCGATTTATCCTTGAATCCCATTCCTCTTTCCGGGATTCCCGTGAACAAGCCATACCTCCCCCTCACGCTCTCAACTCTAGTCTCGACAAGTCAAACTCATGCCTGACCTCAAAGTCATGGCAAGGTACATCCCGGCGTACGTTAGATTCATACCTAGACATTGACGGGAGCCTTTGGTAACTTGATGCTTGTCGAGATTGTGGTTATCCATGTTATTCGGCTAACGTCGCGGCTCGAGCGTTCGTCGTCGGGAAAGATGTCTAGATCGATCGAGACAAGAGCGTTAGCCATTGACACCAGTGTGCCTGGTAGGTTGGTGAAGCCGCCATAACGCAGCATCTCATGGGGCCTATGCGTGGTGGTCGAGCGGCAGCACTTAGCTGATGCGCAGTCCTCCGCTGATGAAGGTCGACATGAGATGAAGTTGCTCTATCTCTGGAAGATTCTGTATCGGGGAACTAGAAGATGAAATCAGCGACGCTAGTTCCGCACGCACTTCTCCAGATGCGAGGGCGTGTCAATCAGGTAGAAAAATATTCTCGACGAGATCGCTGCGGGAGTCTCACTCGCAGCACCTAGCGTAATCTCTGCTTCGTCGCGCATCCTCTGCAATCCCCTCCCCAGGCTGGCAGGTCAGTGCTGC